GGACGGCCATCTCGGGATGGCTTATAGTGGAAACTTGCATTGGGGATCACAAGTGTATCCGTGCGAGGCATGCACTATGGAGGTCAGTAAGGTAAATGAGGGAAACTTTCGGTTCGTGGGGTGAATCGCGAGTTATAGGAAAAAGGTATAATGTCGTCAACGAGAAGTCGAGGGTTGCTGGGTTAGAGCATCCCTATCGGTCAGGTTCTGGGAACCGGTTTAGATCTTGCTCCTGATTATCTATGGCAACACATTGTGTTGGGAGGGTTGAGGCGGTCCTGATCGATGCAGTAGGCCAAGATACCTGGTGCGGGTCGACTGTAAGTCGTAGGGACGAAGGCCAGGAGGAGCGGTAGGTTTAGGCGGTAGGCCGACAAACCCTGAGGATTTCGATCCGGTGGTTGATCGGATTCAACATATTGATATTCCAGCCTAAGGTTAATCGGGCCAGCCACATGTGTTTGTGGTTATGTGTTAGCAGTTGACTGTTACTGTATGTAGATTCGGGAGCTGAAGGAAGCATTGTCATGTTAGCACACTAAGGGTTCATCTCCTAGTTTGCTTTCCGTAGTCCGTGTATCTCTGAAAATTCGGTTATCGAATGAGTTTCCGTGAAAGAATATATAATCTCTTCTCCAGCAGAGAATTATCAACAGCCACATGTGATCCATGATTGTGTTCTGGGAAGGACTCTAGGTTTTCAGGGTGTGATCCGCTTCAGGAAGGAGGGAAGTTAGGTTTCCGATATATCGGGCCATTTCGGGTTTGCCAATGTTGGCAAGGCAGCATATCGACTGGGTCTCCCAGAGGAGCTCGGTCAAAATCATAGCACTTCCTATGTCTTGTAGATGCGGAAGTGCATGTCGGGCAAGGACGTCATGGCATCATTGAGGGATCTTCAGGACGATGAACGCCTGAACTATGTCGAGAGGTCGGTGGCCGTCTTGGAACGAGAGGTAAAGGTTATGCGTAGCAAGGAGGTACTTTAGGTAAAGATACAAGTGGCAGCATCGGAAGGGATCCGAGTGGATTTGGGAGTCGGAGGCTGGAATGCAAGAGCATTATTCTGATTTGTCCATTGCAGCAGGCTTCGAGGACGAAACCTAGTTCAAGTGGGGGAGAGTTGTAACATCCCGATTTCCGAGAATGAGATTTAGGGATTTCATGCAATCAAGGAAGTCTACTCGACGAGTTGGAGGCCCAAACTCGTCGTGTAGAGTTTTAGTCAGCCCGCGTGATTTATGCGGTCTACTTGACAAGTCGGTGGACCCCGACACGACGAGAAGAGCTGGAAGATGAAACCCTAATTTTTAGGGTTTGCACCCTATTTAAAGGACCTTAAGTCCTTTCCTCCAGCCCCTTACCACCTCTTGACGGACAGAAGAAACCCTAATCATTCTAGACCTTGCTATTGAGTGTTTGTGAGATTTAAAGAGTGATTTTGGTGCATTTTGTGAAGAAGGTTTGAAGTCTAAGGAGCTTGGAGCAAAAAGAAGCTTGTGGATCTGACTCCACTTCATATTGGCATCATTTTGAAGGTAACAAGTCGTTACCTTGACTTCCCTCTAGCTAGATCTCTCCATGCTTAAGTTTAGGGCCATTTTAGAATATATGTGAACCATTTTGGGTATTGGTTATGATCTGAAGTTGTAACTTCAGATCTGGACTTCTCTAAGTCCCTATAGCCATAAAGTTATCAGATTTAGCAAGCTTGGGCCTTTCTCTTTGGGTTAAACCTTTCCCTTAGCTTGGTTTTGGCATTTAGGACCATGCATGTACGTAAAGTTTGCAACTTTACGTGGAAACCATGCCCTAGGAGGTTAGATCTGTAATATGGAGCTTTAGGGTGGCTTAAAAACGTATGGATAAGAAATGGACTGCATGAACTCGACGAGTCGCATAGCCGACTAGGCGAGTCGGATGAAGATTGCCCGTATTTGATTCTGCATGAACTCGGCGAGTCAGTAAGAGGACTCGACGAGTCAGTTAGAGTTTTCCCCGACATCTAGACACGTATGGACTCGACGAGTTAGTTGGAAACTCGGCGAGTCAATTAGGGTTTTGGTGATTTCTGAGTTCTTAAGGAACTCGACGAGTTGCTAGCTGCACTCTACGAGTCGGGTCAACATGGACTGTTGACTTTGACCAAGGGCTGACCAGTTTGACTTCTGGAGGTATTTTGGTAATTTGGGAATTTATGGAAGTGGATCATTGGTGGATGTAGGTGTTGGACTTGGAGCTACATTTGGTGGGGTTTGACTTTATCTCTTCGAGTTACTTGTGATGTGAGTTCTTCTCACTATATCAACAGGGTCTAAGGCACCAAGGTCGGCCCTTTATGATTGTATCCTAGTTATAGGACAGTTGATATGTTAGTGATTCGTTAGATCAGTATCCTGGTTATAGGATGGTTGCTATGTTAGTGATCGGTTAGATCGGTATCCTGGTTATAGGATGGTTGCTATGTTAGTGATCGGTTAGATCGGTATCCTGGTTATAGGATGGTTGCCATGATTAGTGATCTGTTAGATCTGTATGACTGTCTGTACTTGCTAGCTAGCATATGATATGTATGTGCACATGTTTGTTGGTTTGGGGGATTGGGTTGAGGCAAGTCCTGCTTTGTGCTGTAGGCCAAGATACCCAGGGCGGACCGGATAGACTAGAGACCCGGTTAGGGCATACTAGTCAGGCCAAAGGCCCGACGAGCGGTCCGGATAGGATGAAGGCCCTGAGAGGCGGTCCAGACGTGTCGAAGGCTCGGAGAGCAGTCCAGATAGACTGATGGCCTGTGAGGCGGTCCAGTCAGACTGATGGCTCATTATGCATGTTGTGTTTGTTTATATGATATGATTATGATTGTATGGCGTTGGTATTTTGTGGGAACTCACTAAGCTTCAGGCTTACAGTTGTTGATTTTGTTTCAGGGACTTCTGATGATCGCGGGAAGGCGAAAGCGTGATCGTACACCTCCTTATGTTTTCATGATTTGGTTTTAAGATACTCTGACATTATACTATTTTGAAAACAAGTTTTGTAATAATCATTGGTTTTGAAATGATTTAAAAAGTTTAAATTTGAGATGATTTTTATGGATGTTACAGTTATAACTTGGACATTTCATTTCATTTTTTTAATCAAACTCAATATATACATAATTTTATTAAATTTATCATATTATAAAACTAATTGACATCCTTGTGATTCTCAAATGAATATTTTCCTAAATTGAAATGTGAAATGATAAAAGCATGTTTTTGAAATCCATACCAAATATTAAATCGGTCATATTATTAGTTTGATGGTTCAACTTGTCGCACCGATCATCATCACCAGATGGCTGACATAACTATAATTGTATGCATACACAATCCACCATCGGGTACAATCTCTCTTTCGTCCAAATGAATATTACCACTATGATAGAAACTTGCATAAAATGATCGAGTTAAAAACTTATAACATCCAGTGGAGTTTGAACAAAAGAAAGTCAACATGTGCATGTGCCTAAAACACAAAATAGAGAAAACGTTAGATATAAAACGAATCTCTATGAAAAAAATTAAAAAACTATGAAAAATTATGTTGCTAAACGTTCAATCCTATAGAAGAAGTGGAAAAAATTTAATGAAAATTCAAGAAAAGTCTGTAAAACTTAATACGAAACAGACGTTATGTTCATTTAATTCCAATAATACATTAGATGAGAATATTGCGAGAAATTCGCAAGTAACATTTTTTCAATAGACTATCTCATGAAAACAATATTGAATTAGAGAATTAATTATCACATTAACAAATAAAACAAACCAACTCCTCGCAAGCATCTTGTTATTTGCTAAATAATGAACCAACGATGATCTCCTAGAAAAGAACATAAATTATAAGATATTCTAAACATGATCTCATTAAAACAAACCAACTCCTCACAAGCATCTTGTTATTTGCTAAATAATGAACCAACGACATGTCTACTAGAAAAAGAATATAAATTATAACATATTCTAAACATGATCTCATCAAAGTAAAATCATGCATGTCTAGCAAGAAGCTTCTAAGTTCAGCTGATCATGAAAAAATAATCGCTATTTTACTACAAATTATGGATTAATCCTTGATGTTTGTCTTCTTCACACATCAAAGGTAGAGCACCAACAATTGATATCAACTACAAAAAATGACTTAGTCATGTGTTATACGAAAACACAATTGAATTAAGATCAAATAAACAACTAAAGATTTAGGAGGCCACAAATCACATTGGATATATCATACAATTACATAATAAGGTAGAATTTCCAAACGCTTAAATAGACCCATGTACATTGTATGGTTAAACAATATATTGGAAACAATCAAAACATTATTACTCACGAGAGACGTATAACGCACTAAGGTGCTGTTTGTTTTTCGTAAAAAATCTCTATAGACCTCTTATTGTTGTACAACGCAGCACACGCACGCTTTTCATCTCGTAATTGTTTGTTTTTTAAAAGTCTTTGGGGTAAAAAACATTTGCACGTGTTCTATTTGGAGCAGCTCTTGTATTGCCTCTTCCAACCTCTTGTTTTTTTTTCTGAAATCTTGATTATATGTTGTTGAAATCTTGTTGAATTTTTGTTACATCTTTTTTTTTTGCTGAATTTTTTTTATATTGAATAATGATAATTTCTTGCTGAAATATTATCATTTTTTGCTGAGATATAATTATTTTTTGCTAAAATATTATAAAATCTTGCTAAAACACGTTTCTTACTATAGTTTGCAACCGTTTAGTTTATTTTAATTTTTAATATCTGTCGATAAACTTCATGAATTTTTGCTTCAAAAAAACAAACAGCACTTAAAAAGGCTTTAAACTAGAATAGGTGATGCAGTTTCATTTGTTGCAGGGTCTAAAGAACCCTACTTGATAAACTTACATAGATGAAACTCTAGTTGTTTCCAATCATCTAGCAAATATCATGCATTCTTTCAGGTTTTGAACAACAAACATTTTCCAACCTGTAAACAACACATTTCAAATGCAAGAAGAGCAATAACCAACTGTGGGATGCAAATGTATACTCTAGAGTCTGGACCCAAAAAACAAAACTGGTTTAGTTTATAATATTGCTAGTAAACATCACAAAACAAAACAAAGTTGACATATATCTAAAAACACACTTTGTAGAAAAATCTACCCAATCACCAACAATAATTGATGGTTCGAGGGTCCCAGCATTTCCCCTCACTTGAAGCACTTGGCATCCAAGAGAGCTTCACCCTCAAAAGGCTCAAAATCTTCAATCATCTGATTCACTCGCTCCTTCTGAGCCTCATCAGAAAGGTCAACCTTGGTCCACTCGTAAAGCTCCATGTCATAACACTCATCCATCACAAATTTTGGGATTTCAGTCCCACGGAAAAGCCACAAACCCTTGACCTTGAATGGAGGCTCGTTTCCAATAATCAACATCTTTCCAAAAGCATATTTCCTTGCAAGATCCATACGCTGAAGGAATCCACCAACCTTGTTCATTGTCACAAATGAGACAGTGTTCTCATCATTGTACTTGTAGTTGCAAAACCAAAGAGAGTATCCCTCTGGATCATACATGTCCCAAAAACCTGCAACAAAATCAATAAATATATCAGCCAACTGTTGTCTGAGAAGAAGATATTTTTTTTTTTTTAAAAAAGTCAAAAATGAAAATACCTTTGATTGCAACCTCACGAAAATTAGTTTTGGTGTTTGAGTAAAGCCTTTTCCAGTCATCCAAAACCATTGGACTTGGAGGCAATAAATCGAGAGGATTCTTTGCCTTAGGCTTGGGTGCCTCTTCCTCTTCTGGGGCAGCTTCAGGCTTGGGTTTAGGGGCTTCTTCTTTCTTGACTTCCTTTTTAGGCTCGGATTTTGGTTTTTCCTCTGGTTTCTTGGCTGAAGGAAGAGGAATAACAGCTTCGGTTTGCACAACTTCTCCGATTATTTTACTGAATTTTGGTTGATTAACCAGGGTCCAGAAATACCTCTCAACATGAGGAAACTCAGATGTGAAACTCTTTGTCAACAAAAATTTAAAACCCATCACAAGGTTGCATGTCAAGATGATGTCAGCCAAAGTAACACCATCACCAACCAAGTAAGTATGTGAAGCAAGATATGTGTTTAGAGCACCAAGACCTCTCTTGGTAGCAGCAATATAACTCTCCTCAACCTTCAAAACATGCACACAAGATTGTCATTTAGAGCATTTCAAATAAACCCATGGAAAAGAAACATTAAAAGTTCAAAATAACATTATGAAAAGAGCAAGAGTGACTAACAGGTTTGATGTAGTTGGTATATCCAAATCTTGGTATGGCCCAACCCCTCATACTTGCATCAAGCTCCAAGGTTGCAAAGTCAATCCACTGCTCAATTTGGCCCTGTATAAAATAATTTCATAAGATAGATAAGCTTTCTTATAAGTTATAAGTATAATTATTCCTTAATAATCATAAAAAAACACAAAAAAAGTTACATATTCTATCGGTGTAGAACCAAAAAGAGAATTTCCAGGTTTCAAATGAGCAACTGCAGCATAAAACATAACAAAGTAAGCTCATTACTCAAAACCAAAAGAAGATTAGAAACAATGGCTATTTGGTGCCTCACCATAGCGAGCAATAGCATTACTCTCAAATATTCCACCCTCGGGAGTCTCAAGAACTGGGACCTGCATTAATGATGAAGAATACAGGATAAAAATTAAATAAAATTTTCCTTTTTGTAGAAAGATTTAATTGGATCATAAAATAAAAGAACGATACCTTTCCAATAGGGTTCATTTTAAGAAATTCAGGAGTCTTATTTGACACACCCATCTGAAAGTTTTCATCCATTTTGATCTCAACACCAACATATTCTGCAGCAATTAATGACTTGTAAACATTCTTGTTGTTTGCCCCCGCATGCATAATCTGCAACAAGAAGAATACATCATATGAAAAGCAATTAACTGACACAAGAATGTAAATACCAAATGATCACAAATCAGACACTAAAACATCAATTTTTAACGATTGATATTGTTGTATAAAATACATATGAACTTCAAGATGTTGAAAAGGTTACATGAGAAAACATAAGATTCAAAACTAAATAAAATTAAGAATAATATTCCGTATAGAGCAAAAAGCATGAATAACATTCCCGAGGCCTACTAAACCGCTGAATCCTTATCCCACCATCAGGTTAATTGGATGTCAATGTCTTATAAATTTCGTCTCATCGAGAATATAAACAAAAAGGAGATTAAATACATGATTAATGTCTAGCCTCTGAATCCTTATCCCCTATCAGATAATTGGATGTCAATGTCTTTTAAATTTGGTGTCATGATTAATATCTAGCATTTCCAGATGATTATGAAACAAAATCAACCACATCAATTAGCAAAATTTGTACACGGGCAAAGCATGATCGATTGATTACACAAAACAAAATGAATATCGAAAATTCAAGTGGATGAAGAATACAATAAAGTTCCAGTGAGTTTTTCACGTCACGAACAAAACGAGAAAAGTTGAAATGAGTAAACGAAACAAAGCGATCCACGAAAAAATGCATATCATAAGCCACATCCGTACAAGTTGTATACAAAACAAGTGAGATCCGTCACAAACTCCGCACAAAAAAGCGTCAACTAATCAAAACTAACACAAAAAACTCACCAGCGCCATTGCTTGAGGAACAAACGATCGCCTTCTGATACCGATCTACAGTAACGAAAATTCAACAGTATATCAGGGTGTAAAGAAGAGTAAAGCGAATGAGACAATAAGTATACATGGTGCTCGATTGAGCAGAAAAAGGATACCTGGTACGAGCGTTTACTCCCAAAGCAGTGACAAATACAAATCTAGGGTTTTGGTATAGAGGTAGCCGAGCATATTAAAAGACAGAGTGAGCCTTCCAATATTAAGAACGGATCATAACAAAATATTACCAGGCCCAGCCCAATTACATCACTACTTCAATATTTCAATCTGTTTTGTTTTCGTATATTCGTATTTGATTGCTTATGCCCAAATCCGAATATTCGATTTTTAATCATCGATTCGGTCCTCTGTTTCCAACGAAGGCAAACAGGTTTTTAAGAACCGTGTTTTTTATCTGGCCGGTTTGTAATCAGTCTGTAATCGGTTTTTTACTAAATCAGTTTGGATAAAAAAAATTATTTTTAAAATTTTTAATTTCATAAAATACAACAAAAGAGTTGAATGTTATACATCATTTACATCGACAATTGAAAACGAAAAATCAGCAGATGCTCACGGAAATCTTGGCTAGATTAGTATCATAAAGTTAATCCATTCCAAATTTAGTGGTCAATGTTAGGCGTGTCAGACCCAACAAATAATAGGGGTACGATATACTTCAAAATAATCCCACTATATTGCACTAGAAAGGTAGTACAAGGCAAGTAGGGTCGATCCACAGAGACACGGGACAATCAGTCTATACCTGTTTTGCGTAAGGTATTTGTTCACAAAAGATTAAGAGGGAGGGGGGGGGGGGGTTTGAATGCGATGATTAAACAAACAAATTTAAAACACGAGTAAACAACTAAACGAATGAATTAAGTTCAAATTTTTGTAAGGACTCCAACTTCATGTATGACAATCCAGCAATGTGAATCAAAGATGACAAGACATTTGTTTCATTCTATCTAAGTTGGTACTTGAAAGTGTTAACAAGCTCTAACACTTTCCATTCACCACATTAATCAATCAAAACAAGTTCTTTGATTAATCCTAACCTTGCTAACCTAATCTAAACAAGCTCTTAGAATTAGATTAAAAGATTGCATTAAGCTTATTGTGAATGTTCCCAACAACACCCAATACTCCTCACAAGCTCGGGAGCGTAAGAATGTGTGAAAAGATTTACACTAAATTCATTCATAAGAAATCAATTTAATGCTTGTTACTTAGTTCAATTCACAAAATAATTACGGATTTTGCAAAATGACTAACTTGAATGACCTAACCCTAATTCAAATGGCCAATAAGAATCATTATTAGAATCAAACATTCGATTGAAATAAAATCAGTTTCACTAGATAGAAATTAAACACAAACATCAGGTCATATGATTTGATTCACAATCAAAAAGTCAAAACATGAAATTGGAGAAGTTAGGGTTCTAGCCATACATGGCTAGAACAAGATTAACAAGTTTAAAAGATGAAATTAAGTGCTAAAGTGCTTACAAAGAAGAAATTAAAATGTTTCCCAATGATTAACGGACAAACCCTTGCTAAAACCCTTGAATTCTCCTCTCTAAAAGTGCTCTGGTGTGTTCTGTGTGTGTAAAAATGACCCAATTCCCGTGATATGAAAAATAGGAAAAACTGCCAAAAGACATTTTTTGGGTCGACCACGGCCCGTGTCAAAATAGGCTAAACTGACACGGGTCGTGTTCAGCAGTCAACACGGCCCGTGTTCAGCATGGTCAACAGCTTCTTCTTGGTCAAACACGCCCCGTGCTCACTTTTCAGTGTAAATCCAACACGACCCGTGTACCCCTCTGACTCCGAATCCAAACTTGATTTTTCCAACTTTTCCGTTCTTCGTCCGATCATCCCGAAATCTTCATCAATGCTTCCCGGCACCTCCCAAAGCGCATTCCAAGCTCCGGTTTACATGAAAAATACATGAAAGTGTGCAAATAAGGTTGTTCTAGAGATTAACATGAATATGATAAAATGCAAGAAAAAGGAAGAACAATTATGCTAAATAGATGCGTGAAAATGGGACTAAAAGGTGTGCAAAAAGGTGCACAAATTGCACCTAACAAATCTCCCCAAGCTTAGACCTTTCTTGTCCTCAAGAAAGAACAAGAACCGGACAAACAGGACGATTTCTAGATGGCAAAAAGAAACATAGAACAAATGGGGATATAAAGATCCTAAAAGCTAAGAATGAATGCATGCAATGAAGATCATGAAAAAGAAACATATGTACAAAAGATACTTAAGGAACAAAAATGAACCAAAGAAAAAATTTAAGAACACAAGTAATATTTTTTATTTATTTTTATAAATATGGACATATACGATCAGAATTTACATCAATGGGGCTCCAATCATTAATACCTAGGCGACCATCCTGCTACCTTCCACATATCACAGACTCCCAAAGTGAGGAAGACCACGAAACGGTGTAATCCAATAATCCAACCATAGTTTTATTTAAACTTCATACCTTAATTAGCTTTTGCTAGCGAAAATAACACAGTTCGGGATCTCATGTCCTTAAGACTAGATAGTCAAGAATCAAAATCGACGCATCCTTAAGAACCCGTCACGGCGAATCAACTTCCGTTTAAACAGTGAGCTCACCTGAAGGGGCCCAGTTCCTATGCTTTCACTTTTTCGAGAGCCACAAGTATCATATCACACAGTTTTTCATTCGTCAGATTTGACTTTGAGATGACTTTTGATTTTTGATTGAACTTGGATTTGTATCTTCGTTTTGAGCTTGAGTTCTTCAATCTTTTGAATTTCTGAAAATTTCTTCGCTTGAGTACTTGAAATTCTGATTTGGGTACTGAATATGACAGTTGTACCCTTTCTTCCTTCTTGACTGTGTGGATCTGATACTTAAGCTCTCTGTTACCGCGAGGGTAACGCGTGTCAACAAATAGGTTCGTGTTCTGTGGGTTCAGAGTTATCGATAAGGATTCTTTTTAAACATTCAGAAGCAAATCATCCTAAAGTTGTTATTACCGCCCACAAAAACGTTTCAGTATGCCATTTTTTTTTATTATCTAAGGTTGGGGTCTCGAATTACGGTGTTTGGGCCCCCTAGTTATGACAGCTGATTCTACACTTCCGATAACTATCCGGTCGCCTCATAATTTTTTTCATTTGAATTCTCATTTTCCCACTTCATGGAGCTATTGTATGTAAAGATTGTATTCATCTCGTATTAAATTTTTTTTTTTGGAAACAATAAATGAAAATGGGATGCAAAAACTAGAAAATATTTGGTTTTATAGATTTTAAAATGCAGAATGCAAGAAAAAGAAAATAAGAAGGCTAAAATCTTTTTGAGTTTTTTTTATGCATGAATATGAACATGAAATGCATGGATAAACCTAATGTACAACTCTACCCCTCCCCAAGCTTAAAGAAAAGCATCGTCCCCGATGCTCGGAGAGGGTGGAACAACCTAATCACCGGAAGGTGGTGCGGGATGGTAGTCGGGTCGGGTAAGGTCCAAAACAGTCATAAGTGCACACAAATTGAAATTTTAAGCAAAATGTGGACGATTAAAGATATGGAAAGAATTTACCGAATCGTTCTTAGAGTCTAACAATTGTGGTGAGAACCTTCTCTTCATCTTCCCCAAGCTATTCGTGAAATATTTTTGGAGCCCGAGAGTCATTTTCTAGGCAAAAACAAGTTTATAACCATTTGGGACATTAAAATTTTGAAATTTACCAAAGACTAAAAAGTTTTAAAAGAAAGGACAAAAATACCCCCGGGTTGCCTCCCGGTTAGCCGCCCTTTTTTAAAGTCGTTGGCTCGACATGACCCCTGAATATGCATCAATCTAAGTATGTGGGGCTCTCCAACTTACTAAACTTTTCGCCACCTCCTTCAATGAAACACTTATCTTGTAGTTGACTTTCTTTTTGCGTGGGAACCATGTTGGACTTAGACCCTTAATGACAAAAATCGTCCAGTCGACCCCTTTCTTGTACTTGTCCAGTAAGGTGGTCAAATCTTCCTTCTTTGATAAGGTGGTTGATTTGATGACCGATTGGGTGTCTTCCTTCTCAGGGTACATATCCCTTGAAGGGTCCAGCAAATTTGTCGTTTTCGGCTCTTGTGGTTGGTCTACCGGTGAAATGAGTTTCTCATTGGTAGTGGGTGGCTCAACCTCTTTTTTGTCAACCTCCAACACATCCTCTACAACTTCCATGTCAACATTCTTAATTTCTACTTCTTCCTTGACAACCTTCTCCACTTCTACTTCTTCCTCCTCTTCCCCATCTTCTAATTGCAATCTTGGGTCATCAACATTTTTCCCATCGTTCAAGGTGATGGAAGAAACGGTATGCCTTGGGTCCTCCTCCGTCTGCGATGGTAGTTTTCCCCGAGTTTCCAATATACTCACAGATTGAGTAAGTTGTGAAATTTGTTGCTCTAAGCTTTTGAGGCTAGCTTTGGTTGTTTCTTGGAAGATCTGGGTAGTAGTGGCAATGTTTTTGACAATGTCTTCCAAGGACATGCTCGACGTTTCAGGTTGTTGGGGAGGTGGAGAATATAGTTGTTGGAACTGTGGAGTTAGTTGGTATTGGTCATTTCCCCAAGCTTGGTATGGGTTTTGTCATTGGTTGTTTCCCCAAGCTTGGTTGTTTTCCCAAGGTTTATCATGTTGAGGTTTATCATAACTCCATTGGTTTGGCCAGTAGTAGCTTCCCATTTCTTGCACTTCTTCCCATTCTCCTTGTAGATATGGACACATATCAGAATGATGTCCATTTTGAGTGCAAAAATCGCAAGGAATAGGTGTGGGTTGCGTACTTTGGTCATTTCCAATTATCATAACTAACTGAGCTAGCTCAAAAAGTTGGTCTTCTATGTAAGGAGTATTCATTTCTGGGCGACACTTTTTTTCTGTTTTTTTATTATTATTTTTTTATTTTTTTATAGAGGTGTACCTGCTCACAAAAATCTAGGCATAAACAATTAGTAACACCGTGTCCCCGGCAACGGCGCCAATTTGTTAGGCGTGTCAGACCCAACAAATAATAGGGGTACGATATACTCCAAAATAATCCCACTATATTGCACTAGAAAGGTAGTACAAGGCAAGTAGGGTCGATCCACAGAGACACGGGACAATCAGTCTATACCTGTTTTGCGTAAGGTATTTGTTCACAAAAGATTAAGAGGGAGGGGGGGTTTGAATGCGATGATTAAACAAACAAATTTAAAACACGAGTAAACAACTAAACGAATGAATTAAGTTCAAATTTTTGTAAGGACTCCAACTTCATGTATGACAATCCAGCAATGTGAATCAAAGATGACAAGACATTTGTTTCATTCTATCTAAGTTGGTACTTGAAAGTGTTAACAAGCTCTAACACTTTCCATTCACCACATTAATCAATCAAAACAAGCTCTTTGATTAATCCTAACCTTGCGAACCTAATCTAAACAAGCTCTTAGAATTAGATTAAAAGATTGCATTAAGCTTATTGTGAATGTTCCCAACAACACCCAATACTCCTCACAAGCTCGGGAGCGTAAGAATGTGTGAAAAGATTTACACTAAATTCATTCATAAGAAATCAATTTAATGCTTGTTACTTAGTTCAATTCACAAAATAATTACGGATTTTGCAAAATGACTAACTTGAATGACCTAACCCTAATTCAAATGGCCAATAAGAATCATTATTAGAATCAAACATTCGATTGAAATAAAATCAGTTTCACTAGATAGAAATTAAACACAAACATCAGGTCATATGATTTGATTCACAATCAAAAAGTCAAAACATGAAATTGGAGAAGTTAGGGTTCTAGCCATACATGGCTAGAACAAGATTAACAAGTTTAAAAGATGAAATTAAGTGCTAAAGTGCTTACAAAGAAGAAATTAAAATGTTTCCCAATGATTAACGGACAAACCCTTGCTAAAACCCTTGAATTCTCCTCTCCAAAAGTGCTCTGGTGTGTTCTGTGTGTGTAAAAATGACCCAATTCCCGTGATATGAAAAATAGGAAAAACTGCCAAAAGACAGTTTTTGGGTCGACCACGGCCCGTGTCAAAATAGGCTAAACTGACACGGGTCGTGTTCAGCAGTTAACACGGCCCGTGTTGATTTGCACTAAACTGACACGGCCCGTGTTCAGCATGGTCAACAGCTTCTTCTTGGTCAAACACGCCCCGTGCTCACTTTTCAGTGTAAATCCAACACGACCCGTGTACCCCTCTCACTCCGAATCCAAACTTGATTTTTCCAACTTTTCCGTTCTTCGTCCGATCATCCCGAAATCTTCACCAATGCTTCCCGGCACCTCCCAAAACGCATTCCAAGCTCTGGTTTACCTGAAAAAGACATGAAAGTGTGCAAATAAGGTTGTTCTAGAGATTAACATGAATATGATGAAATGCACGAAAAAGAAAGAACAATTATGCTAAATAGATGCATGAAATGGAACTAAAAGGTGTGCAAAAAGGTGCATAAATTGCACCTAACAGTCAATTTCTCTATTTAGTTGATTTGATAAAGGTAATCTCATAGCTCTTAACACTAGTTTTTGAATTGATATGCATAGCATCAGCCCTCATTTCTCTTCTTCAATCCTCTATCTGCATCAGGTATGATTTTATTTGGTCTTTCACATGTACATTCCCTAATTCTAGATTCTTCCGTTAAATAGCAGTCTCATCTTCGTCACATGTACCAGAGAATAAATTGAAGTTAAAGGTCAATGGGATATTCTAGATTCTTGCAAGAAACCCCTCCCTCTTCACCATCTCTAGTAACTTCTTTTGCTAATTTCTCTAAATCCCTTTTCAATTTAATGCATCGATAACTCTGATTTTATTTCCTTTTTATGGCGATTGAGTGTAGAAACTCAAGAATCTATGTAAATCTATCACGTTAGAAGGTTCAATTCAATAAAGTAAACCAATCACAATGTGTGATGAAAGATAAGCTTTATCTCAAGTGCTTATTTCATCGTATTAGGGCTCCCATTGCGTTAAATAGCAGTCTCATCTTCGTCACATGTATCATGCCCTAATTCTATTTTGATGTTGATTTTAATGCCTAATTCAAATCAAATGGATATTAGCGAATTTATGAAAATATATGTAAATGGATGGGCTCCTCTTTAAATCCAACATATACAATAATTTATAGTTTCAAATAACTTCTTTTGGGTGTTTTTTCTAGATAAATGCAAAAAATAGCAACTTTCTTTCATTAAAATGTGTATAATAACATCTTACTTTAGTTTTTTACTATTATAGAATTGTACTTTCAGTTTTTTTTTTTGTTTTCTTACTTACACATTGCATTTGGAAAATTTGGCCCATTTATAGCATTGCACTTTCATTTTATTTTCTTATTAGGACATCATACTTTCAAAATTC